CAGGGCTCAGGGCCAACAACAGCCCCCTTTATGGGTGTCCGTCTCAGAGTCCAAGTCCCACTAAAAGTCTCAGGTAAGACATCCTCTATACTTGTGGACATAGAGGCCATATGTACAGAGTTCTTCCTGAGTTTTCAGGCCGCTATAATAAGTCCTCAATCTCTAAAAGACATTGAGCGTCAACCTACGCCATTTATAAACAGGGCCTATTTCGTGCAGGTCCCAGTTCTAAGTCTTAAAATGCTTGTCATTCCCTTGTGTTTTATACAAACTGACTTAGACACACTGAGGCCTCAACAACTTACACCTGTTATTGCTAGTAAACCTCTCCTCAGTGATACAGACCACCTCCTTCCTTTCTTATTCACCAATTTCTCAGGCAACCCTGGTCAAGATTGACAGATAAATTTTGTCTTCTCACTTTGTTTATACTTTTTTCAGGATACATAAAAGCCTTTCCCACAACCAGGGAGATTGCTGGTATACTTGCTAAAGTTCCATTGCAGCAAATTATTCCAAGGACTACAGCCAGGTTAGAGCAACCCATACCTGATATTCTTGGCAACCTCAACAGTGATCAAATTTGCTAGACTGCCATCCTGGTTTTACATCACTCAGGCTAAGCAGCGCCCTCTCAGCCCTAAATCTGATTATTCTGAGTGGTCATCTCATCTTCTGTTGCCCACCCGTCCCCGTTTCATAAAGGCCTTGCAGCCACAGTTAACAGGCTAAGTCATGTTTTTGTTATCCACTTTGGTTCCTAATTTCTTACATTCTATTAATGATCATTTTTACAGCAGGACTCTTGACAATCTTTCCTAAAGACCCCCACATCATGCATAAGATCATCTTCATAATGTTCTATGTAATGACTGTCTTAGTTCTTTCTACCCTCAGCTGTTTGGTTAAACGTGACATCCCTGAAAGCCTAGGCCCTTACCTTCCCTATACTGGTACAGCCATCACCTTCCCTGCTCCCCCTATTTTTTCCAGTTCAACTCCTGGACCAGAGACAAGTTTTACCCACCCCCTCTTAACTTTTACACTTTCAGATGGGGGATCACCTCTCATAACTTTAGTCCTCCTAATTTTTCAGAATTCTACCTCACCTTGACAATGATCCTAACTCAACGTGGTCCTGATATAATGACATGTCTAAATCAAAGGCACCTTTCCTTCTACCTCACCTGGTTCCTTAAATATGACAGCGCCATGCCTCTTCATAACATCTTGTCTCTTTGTTTTTCCAGTCTAACATACGTGCATTCACCAGTGAAGTTGTCCTGGCTAAAACACCTGGCACCAGCTTCTACAACTGTCATCCCGTCAACTCCCCTAGACCCCAGTACAGCACCCTTTTCCAGCAGGAAGTAGTTAAAGAGAGAAATCTTTGCCCCTTTTTATAATAATAATCGTAAGACAGGATATGAAAGAGTTTTGGCCAAGCAGGACACTATAGCCAGTAAAGCCTCAGGTGGAACCAAGGAGCTCCATCTCCCCCACCCCAAGGAATTTACCTATGGCGCCAAAGACCAATGGGCTACCTGTGCATCCCTAATGTCCCCTTAGTTTCCACCCCAAACTGAGGCTACTTATATGCCTCCACTCCATGTGTTCCACAGAGAGATCACTGACCCCGGGGGGAGATGCCTCGCCCCAGGGGGATGGGGGGTGTCTCTACCTGCATTCACAAAATAAAGATCATTTATATTTCATACTTCTTATCTTTTCAGCTGCTGCCAGTCCCCCACAGTTCTATCACCCACCATAGTCAAATGAGGTATCCTAGGACTTGTTCTGATTGGATAACTTGGAACGCAGAACTACAACTCTGAATGAATAATGCTTTTGGTGACATAGTCAATTAGAAAATGAAAGTTTGAAGTTAGAGTGCTGGCATAAACCTGTGGGCCCAGCACTCTGGGAAACTGAGGCAGAAGGGTCACATGTTGGAGCCCACCTGGCAATTTAGCAACTTAGATGCATCCTGCCTCAGAATAAAAAATTCCAAAAAGGTCAAGCCCCTGGGGTCAATTCCCAATACTACAAAAACTGTATTAATGAAAAGCAACAAAGAATTGAAAATTGTACAAATGTACAAGATATTAATGTAGAAGAACTTCTGTGTCAGGTGATAGAGTGAGTGGGGGACTCTTTCTGGTTCTGAACCATTTTCACTATACCTGAAGCTGTTCTTAAAATGTCTATTAACTTTTTTAAAGTCTATGTTACTCTCCCATGGCTCTCTTTTGTTAAAAAGTCAGATGTGTGCACACATTCAGTCTCAAGGAAGGTTATCTCACAGAAACAGGGTGCTACAATAATCTTTTTCCAATTTGGATTACATGTGTAGTTCATTGTAATTTTAAACAATGTCCTCTCCCCTCAACTACGTAGACTTCTAAGGTCACATATGTTGGTGTTTTAGTTTTTATATTTATTGTGTTTCTTAATTTTTATGAAATATTTTATGTACCTTCTCTTTTTTTAAAATTTTAAGGAAAAAAAGAAAAAAAACAGAAAAAGGGTACAAGTTATACAGAATTTCAGAAAAAATCAACAGTAGGAAATCACTAGTTAATAGATTACATATTGTCATCTTACAAATAGTTGTTCAAGTTACAAAATTAAAGCACATAAAGTGGACTTTCAAACAGTGAGACTGCAAACAGTTCTGTTCAGTGATCCAACAAAACTCAGTAATATGGTTATCTATCTTATACACTTAAATATACATGCAGTTATAGCCTTTAGAGCACTTTCACTTCCTCTCTTTGGTACAATGACAATTACACACATTTTGGGTTTTATTACTCCCACAGTTCTTATTACGTTTTTTTTGAAGAGAGTAAAGCCAAATATGAGATAACAGAACAGAGTAAATCAAATCAAAAGGATGGACATAATACATAATGTAAAAACAAAATACAGGGTGATCAACAATGGTTACCATACTACCTCTTGCTATCTTAAAAAGAATTGCCTATATCATCAGTTATAATAAAATTGAACAAAACAGTAAAGAATAAAACCAAAACATTGGAGACATTACAAGACTTCAAAAGAAGATAATAGTCAACCAGAATGGGCGTCATAATGAATCTTATTGTCTTCACAGTTGTTGCCTATACTCTCGAACTTGGTACTATCAAGCAAAACAGAATAGAAGAAAATCAGTCAAAACAAGATGGGGAGAGCAATGCAGGGTTTCAAATCAAGTTAATAGGAAATCAAAGTGGGTTACTATAATGTATCCTGCTATTTTTATTTATTTTTCCCTTAATTAAAAAGATAAAAAAGTAAATAATAAAAAAAGGAGATTGAGATAAAAGAGGGCATAACAACAAAACAGTGCAGGGCAAAACAATCATTTAAGCAAAATAGTGTTTCACCACAAGATAATCTGACATAAAAGTAGTTACCATAGTGTCTTTCCTTGAAATCTTTGAGTATAACTTCATATACTGTAGCACCAAACATATCAAGACAATGTAAAACCATTCAAGAGAATGACAGTATCACAGGATATTTAGGGCCAACTATCAGAAAATGAACAATGGTTTCTGTATAATCAATCTCCTTGTCCATAAAAGTTTTTGTTTATATTATCACATGTAATAAGATACAACCTGTTAAGACCAATGGAGACAGAAGAACAAAAGCTTGATGAGACTTCAAAACAAGATACTAAATCAGCACTAGCTATTATGATGTCTTGATTTCTCCAAAATAGCTGTTCCTACCACCCAACCTTCTCTGCCTCATTTCTGTTGAGCTCTTTTTCTGTCATTAGTTGTCAGTTTGTCTTCATTTCGCTTTCTGCTCTATTCATTGTGGCCTCTCTGCCACTCTTTTTGGAATCTTGGTATTTTTCTTTTTTAGAATATCCTACAGTATTCTCTGTAGAGTTGAATTGGTGATTGCAAATTCCCCTAGTTCCTCTTTATCCTGGAAGCACCTTGTTTTTCCATCAATTTCTAGGGACAGTTGTGCAGGATATATCAATCTTGGCTGGAGGTTATTATCTTTCAAAGCTTGAATTATTCCCCCCCCTCCACGCTCTGGCTGCCCAACATGGCTCTGGACAGTGCCTTGGTTCAACGCAGACTTCCCAGTTCTTCCAAACATGAAAATTGCACCCTCCGCTTTTTGCGCCTGCGCCAGCATTCCCCCAATCAGCTGTCAAAACGTCACTCTGTTCACCCCTTAAGCTCCACCCCCTGTTAAATGGAACAAAAACCTGCTGTTTGTCAACTTCTAAGGGATTTAGCGGTCTTCTGCAGCCCTCCAGTGTCTACAATAAAGGCCTTTTTTCCTTTCTCCATTTTCTGTCCTTGTTTCTCTGCTGCACCAAGGAAAAACCTAACACTGTGCATGTGCTAAAAGCAACTTTGCTACACACAACTGTACTCACCACAAGACACCATTGTAATCCGGCCTTCACCTACTAAAGCCTATCTTATTTCTGTAACTTCTATTTGCCACCCTATAAAAACAGATACACTCTCTGTAATCAGTGTCTTAATCTTTTGAGATTACTCTTCTGGGATCTGCTAGCATTCCTTAAATTTCCTTTCTTCTCCTGAGCTCCTGGCTGCTGTCGACTCAGTTTTTCCCCCAGCGAAAGGATGCAGGGAGTATGTGTGTTTGTGTGTGGGTATATGAAAGACCGCTTAGTGCAGTTTAACATTATAAATACTATATACATATATAAAAACAACACTGAAGTCTTGACATCAGCCAGATCTTCACTGAATACAAGAGCCAGGTAACACCTGAGTTCTAGGAAGAACAATGGAAAAGGACTGTATTTTACAAGTGGGGCAGGTGGAGGCAGAAGGAGTGGTCTAGAAGGCCCAGGATGGGTGCAGCACCCACTGTGCTGGAGAGCGAGGGAGGGGAAGGCTGTGGCTGGGCCCCTTATCCCCGCCCCTCCCCCAGCCCAGGAGCCCTTTGTGATGAGGAGGCCACAGCTCTGTGATGCAGGCCTGGGACCCCTCCCTGCTCCCAGACAGAATTCTCAGGGCTCAGTTGCCTAAGAGCAGCACTGCGATTCAGACGATGGAGAATTTTCTCACTCCTCTGAAAAGCCTTAGCGCCACATGGCCCAGCTTCACCATATTTGCCATGGACATGGTCCTCGCATTTGTGTGTGGACTGGGGCTGTACCTCCTGTTACTGCCCTGGCTCCCGGGTGAACCATCCTTGCCACCATCCAGGAGAAATAGAACCATCAAAAAGGTGAGAAACCCACAGCTCAGACCCAGCAGAAAACAATTTGCTCTCCTTTCACTTACCAATGTAGAGTAGAGTAAAGAGAATGCAGAAGGGAAAATCTCAGGAAAGAATAAAGCAACCCTCATCGGGGACAGCTGGGCCAGGGCAGAAGCAGCAGGATGCCTATCTGATGCTCTAAGACCACATGTGTGGTTTGCTGGCCAGAGTTAAAGAGAATACAGTGACTCAGGGGAGGATGCCAGGATGCCTTAGAGATGGGGGCCTAGTGTCAGGTGCCTCTGGATCCAGAATCCCACCTGAAAGGGCAAAAACTGCTCTAGAAATGAGTCTGTGTTTCCTGAGAAAGGGAGTAAGGTAACCATTGGTAAATCTCACACATGAAGTCCTCTGTAAGTTTTTGGAGAAAAACAACAAAAAAACATTTTTATATCTATTTTAAAAATGAGAAAAAGAAAAAACCCAGACTCCTTAATTCGATGAGTATCATAATACTCATGAATGCTGAGTGTCCATAGCTGAAAGATGAGAACGGGGCCTGGGCTGCTCATGACTTTCCCTCTTTCTCAGCGTCCAGTGCGGATAAGGTGGAACAACAGGAGCAGGAAGAGGACAGGCGCACTCAGAGGTGAGGCTCTACCTTTCAGTCCTGCGACCCCAGAGCCACCATGACCTGGTCCCCTGCGACCAAGGCCGACTCCCAGGATGCAGCCACAGACCTCTGAGAGGAGGGATCCTGGAAAGGCTCTCAGCAAGGGGACATTTCTCAGGTCCCCGGAGAAGAAGCAAATTGTGTTGGGACAATGAAGGGTTCTGTCCAGCAGGGGCAGTGCAGGCAGCAGTACAGCCATATGCCCTGGACTTGGAGTTGGGCCTCCAGATCTGGGCCCAGCTATCACAATTGCCTGAGGCTGATTCCTCTGTGAGATGACCCCATGTGTCCAGCACAGCACCGCTGTGAGAACCACAGATGCTGAAGGATGCAGAAGCACTTTGTACAGACACAGTAATGACCCCTTTGTGCACTGTGCAATCACTGTCAGCCAGGGCCAGAAGATGCCTGGGCTGCAGAGTCAGATTGCCTATGTTGTTCTGTAAGGGGTTCCCTTCAGCTTCCTGTGAAATCAAAATCCCCTTTACCCTTGACCTTTTATAACCCAGTTTCCCACTTCTCACATTTGCAGACTGCCAGATTTATCAGAAGTTAGACAATACCCTAAGTTCCCTTCTGAGAAGGTAAAGAGTTTTCCCCTTTCCTCCTGCTAATGCTGCCTATGAGGACTCCAGCAGCACTGGACTGACTTGGGAGGGAGGGATGCTGGGAGTGGGAGATGTGACACCCTGGGTGGGGGGTGGCAGGAGTACTGTGGAGTTGGGATGTGGAGGGGCCATGGTCTGCACAGACTCATTTGGCACCCTGGCTGCAGTTAAATCTTCTATTTATTACAGCTTCCAGAAGCTGCTGCCTGAACAAGAAAGCCCTCAGCAGCCCCCACATCCACAATGTCTTCCTGCTGTGTGCACAAGCCCACCTGCCACAGCCCTGCAGCCACATGGGAAGGATGTGCACACCACCACTCTGTCTGTGGTAGAGGCTGCCTCCTCCCCTCCTACTCGGCACCTTCTACCTCTGGCCTCCTCTCCATCGCCAGGCTGGTCCACAATCTCTTCGGATCTTGAGTGTTCACCCACAGCCCTTACTGCCTCTCAGTCCCCAGAGCCCCTGCTTCTGCTGGACAGAATTTCACCCCGGCCACTTTCACACTCCCTCCCCCCAATGGGTCCCTTCAAGTCTGCCTCAGGCCCCCAACCGTGGTGGGATACTACAGAGAAGCCAAATCAGCAGCTCAGTACCCATCAACCCTCACATCCCAAGATCCCAGGGCTCCACTTTGAGCAGAAATGGAACCAACCGTTCTGGGGTCTGCCCTCTCAGGACAACGAATCCTTAGTGGCTGCGGCCTGGATCTCCCCAAACCCTAGTGTTCCCCAGCTTCCCTCCTCCTCATTTAACAAAACCTCACATTTTCACCCAATTCACCGGCAGAACATGTCCTCACTGCTTCCCCAGGCCCAGGCCCCCTACTGTCTGGAACCCCAATTGCCACCCCAATTCCAGCCCCCACTTCTGGGTTATGCCCTGACTCGGACCCACCCATGGTCCTCTCCCCCAATCCTGTTATCACCTCCTGTGTCCCACAGCAGGGACTGTGGAGCAGCCTGCTCTGCACCCCATAGCACCCCACAGTCTCAGGTTCCAACTGAAATTCAACACCCAGGATGGCCCTTGTCCACAAAACAACTGGAACGTGGGGGAGCTGTGCTCTCAGCAGTCCAAAGTGCTCAGGAGGGCCACAGCCGCCCTACTTCCAGCCTTCACCAAGGCAAGTATGCTGCTGTCACCCTTCCTGGGACTTTTCTGCTCAGCCCTGAGGTCCAGGCACAGCTGGAGCAGCACATTCAAAGGCAGACCACTGAACACAGTGGGGACCAGGCCAGCAGGACCCAGGGGTCTGCAGGACTCACTCAGCCTCCAAGTGACTTGACTCTTTCCTGGGAGGCAAAGGACAAGGCTGGGCCCTCCCATCTGCGCCTGTCTACAGCTGAAAGCAGCCAGGATGGGCAGATGAGGTTCCAGCCAAGCACGAACCCGGTCAGGAATCTGGGGCATATTCTAGGCAATGTCCCAAAAGATCTGTCTAGGGCCTCAGGGAGCTACCCCGACAAGGATCAGGGGGTACCCTCTGAGGAGTCAGAGAGAACCCTGATTGTTACCAGGGAGAGAGACACTGGTAATGACTCCCCAGGAAGTGCTGACAGGGGGCACATAGAGGATGTGCTGAAAGTGCACTTGGGCACAAAGACCAGGCAGATCCACCAGGGGCTGATCCCGCTGAGAGTGCGCCTGTCCTGGCTCAGTGTCAACGGTGCCTTTTCCACCTCTGACACCCACGTGGGGACCAGAAAGCCAGCATCCTCCAGGGCTCAGGAAACCTACATGAAACCGACCCAGAAGTTTTCTGTCTGCGACCCAAGCTATCTGCAGGACCTGGAGACGCAGATCGGCAGGTTTAGGGTGAAGCACAGATGGGGTCTCCCCCTCAGGCTCCTCAAGGCTGCAAATCACTTCAAGCCCACAAAGGCGCAGTCCTTATCCTTGCCACAGTTTTCCCCACCCTCCTCATCTTCTAGGGATTCTTGGGTAGACTTGATCCTTGAGGATGCGGAGTTCTTGGGGGAAACCCCTGAGGCATTTCCTGAGGAGGAGGCCAGGGTCAGGGAGTCTGTCTCTCCACTGGGCAGTCCCCTGGTCTCCCCTCTTGCATCTGAAGAGACCAACTTGGATCCAACAGGTATCCCACTGGCTGATGGTCAGTGGTTATCAGAGGGCCCCCTGTCTGGACAGGACAGCAAGGGACCCTCAGAGCAACTTACACACAGACTCAGAGGCACAACCCATGACAGCAAGACTGTCCAAATGGTCGGCGAGGCTGACCCAACAGTCCCCTTGCTTCCCGGAACATATGTTTCCCAAGATGCAGGAGAGCCAGGTGATTGGGCAGACATCACGAGGACATTTCAGCACACAGAGATGGAGTCAATGAACAGTTCTCAAAAGAGTGGCTCGGGGTCCCAAATTCCAGACAGTTTGGTGTTTGTGGCACCCCAGTCCCATCACCACAACAGGCCCGAGTCACAGAGGTTAGGTGACCTAATGGCGCACAGAGGGAGCAGCCTGGGCCAGCAGAAGCCCAGGGACCCGATGCACCAGTGCTCACAGAAGAGCCACAGCAGGACGTTTGCCCCCACTTTCAAGCAGGAGGTCAGCAGGGGGACTGGCGCAGAGAAACATGAAGGCAGGCTGGGACGCTTGGCCTCCCAGGATTGGAGAAAGCAAGGCCCCCTGGAGAGGGAGCACCCTCGGCATCTCCCACAGAAGCAGCCAGTGCCTTCAGAAGGCCGCTTCCAAAGAAGCCTGAAGAAATTTCTGCAGTGGTTTTTACCCACGAAAAAAATGAAAGGGCAGGAAGATGCCCCCAAAAAAGGCAAGCCTGCAGGGGCCACTGCCCGGAGCTGGAGACTGGCCCCAGGCAGACTGCGTGTGGACCGTGGTACTTATGAGGCTCAGGTGCTCATGACCCCAGTTGGGCAGATGCTAGAAACTAAAATCAGTTTTCCGTGTGAAGTTCGTGACCTGAAGTTGGATCAGCACAGACAGGAAGGAGGTCAAGACTCGGTCTCCCAGGCTCCCTGCTCCTTAGAGCACAGAGGAGCAGCAGGATATGTTGTATCCTCCGGGTATCGCAGCCATGGTCTCAGGGAGAGGCCCCCCCAGGAGTCCTTGAAAACTGGACAGCAAGGTTGGGGGCAGCAGGGCCAGAGGCTTCCCCACCCCTCAGTGCCCATCAAGCCTGTGTCCCCTGACAGCCCCGCGCAGCATGGTGTCCCAGTGCTCAGGGCACCAGGCCGATATTATTGCCCCAGACACACTCCTCTTGGGAGAGGGGTCTTGACCGAGAAACCAAGAGATTTCTCTCCACTCTTTCTGACTAGGGAAACGCACCTCCAGGAACACAATGTGCAATGTAGCAGAAAATGATTTTCTCACACTCTCCATCCCTGAGACTTACTATAGCCCAATATACCTATTTTTCCTCCTAAGGGGGAAGTGGTTTGTGTCTGCTCTGTGCTTGCGGTGGTCTCTGATGTCTGGAGGGGTGGAGTGTGGTAGAGGGTAACTGGGGTACAAGCCCACGTCCACCTGAGTTCCTTCAGTGATCCCCTTTTCCATCATTAGGGGAACAAAAATTCTAAAGACAAGCAGAGGAAAAGCAGTGAAGAGCCCACCCTGGCATCTGGTTCACCCCACCTTGCCACTTCTCCCTCTACCTTACATCAGTGCAGGATCCAGGGACACAGAGACCTCTTAGGCTGAAAATTCCCACACACTTGAGCAAGGGTAGAGCCAGGTAGCTGCAGGGGTCCCAGAATGGGTGGCAGTTGGCACAGAGGATGGTGGGCCCTGAGATCAGGAGCAGGAGAGATCTTGCCCTCCATCAAGGATCAGATGGTGGCGATCAGAGGATGGCACCCTTGGGAAGCCCTGCCTCTCCGTGGCAAAGGCCAGGATGGAGAGGGGCTTTCTGGGCTCAGCTTTGATGGAAAGTTCAGAGTCCCTGTCCCAGGATCCGGGCTCCCTCATTCTAGAGCAGCAGTGAGGAGGGAAAATCCAGCTGTGTGTCAGGAGGCCCTGCTCCTGGTCACTTGTCCTGGCCATCTCACATGGCCCAACTCCAGTGGTTCTGGGTTGTGGAACAAGGATGTGAGGCTCAGTAACTGATGCTCAGGCGCTGGGCACAGTGTGGGCTGTGGGAGGAAATGGAAAAGGCTGGAGCTGAGGTGGGAGCAGAGTGGCCTGAGGCCAGTGTGACTGGTGGGGGGATGGGGTGCTTCCAAGGCTCAGCTGCCATCCAGCAGCTGACAGGAGGGGCCATCAGGGGCCATGTGACTCCTCCTGGTCCCACCCCAGGGCCCTGCTTGCTCCACATCCTGACTCAGAGACAGAACCTTTAGGTCCCACACGGAGCCAGGTTTGAGAAGGAGCAGAGTGTGCCAGTGAATATATATCATCAATCGATTTCTTATTAGTACATCTGGTCCAGTTGCCTATGTTCACCTCCTGCAGAGAGGATGAACTGACAGTGGAGAGCACAGGACAAGGGTCCCTGAGATATGATTCAGAATCCCTTGACCTTTACATATATGTGCAGGACTGCTGCTAGAGAGGGAGTGTGAGGTTGAGGGGCTTCCCTGGTGTCACACAGCAAGTCCTGCCTGGCTGCCAGCCCTGCTTACCCACAAGCCCACAGGGAAGGGGTGGTCACACAGGTTTGCACCACCAGGAATCTGGAAGTGACTGTCCAAGTGTCCTGGGGCAGCGCTGGTCCAGAATGAGAGCCTGCTCTCTTGTCACTTTGTAACATGAGCTTCCCTTTCTGTGGGTCCTGATCCTAATGGAAAAGCAGGAGGGCTGCAGAATCAGGGAGAGAGGAGCTGTTTCCCGTGTGTGGCACATAGGCCAACATCAGGCAGTCTTGTCTTTGGAGAGGCTCTGCTCCATGGGCCTTGGTCCTGGAGCCGAGCATCCCTCAGTGGGCCAAGCTGACCCAGACACAGGTGAGAGGCCCTGGCTCCCTGTGGGGATGTCCTCCACCTGGGTGTTTGGGTAAAGAGGCACCACTTGTTGGGCCTGGCTGGTGGTGCTGCAGGCTGCCCGCAGCCTCGTCCTGTCTCGAGGAACTGGATGCCTGTGTGGGTCCCCAGAGTGGACCCAACTGGTGAAGAGGAGTGGGACTTGCAGGAGGGGCTGGGCCCTGGGGCACAGAATAGCCCTGGTATCTTGGGATGGTAATTTATCTGGGAGGATTCTCAGATTTGTATGGAATCGTACTGATGGCTATGATTTATTATGTCTGTATGATACAATGTACACTCAACAAATGGATAAAGATCCAGGGTGTGAAGACACTGGGAAACCATGTACAGGCTTCTAACAGTCCTTTCCCAGTAGAATTATGCAAGGCACATTCAATATCTCCAGCAATGAATTGTCACAACCTGGGACATGTCTTCTAAGAAATACCACCAAAGGATGAGAACACAAGCACTGTACTGAGAGCTACCACATAAGCCCATTTAAACATCCCTTGATATATGTTTTTTTTAAAATTTCAGGATCACAGGTATTCAATACAAATTACATTCTTGGCTCATATAATGAAGTTGAAATGCATTTCATCTAGTCTCTGAAGAGTGCAGAAACTTTGCAATATTTCAAATTCCTGGATGTACATGGTTTCTTTGTACACAATTTCCTACAAAACCCCACTTCCTAGGGAGGACGAAGCAGGCCATCTTCAAAACTGCCATTACAGTCCTGCTCAGTTACCGGTTTTCTGCAAAGTAATAGAAATTACTCAAGGCCAAAGGAAACAATAACGAAGGAACATAGCAACGACAGAAATAGAGAAAAGGAAATGTAAAATAGATGGAAACATGTATATCAATAATCTCTGGAGATATAAATGGATTAAATTATTCAGAGGCAGATACAAGATTTTTATAATGCTGTTTCCATATGATATCTGAATACATTTTTAATTCACATACACAAATAGTACAAGAAAAGTAGCAAAAAATAAAAAACCAGTATGAGAGCCATTATAGCCTATCGTAATTAAAAAGCAATCAATCCAAAGCAATAAAATTTCATGAACTACAAAGAGCAGCATTTTCAGTAATAAAGGAAAAATGGAGAGAGAGAATCATGAAAGTGCATCGTAATCAGCCTTCCATATCCGTGATTTCCACCTCTGCAAATACAACCAAACACGAGGCAAAAATATTTTTTGAACTGTGTCGCTTCTCAGTTTTCCTCATCAACATTATCTAAACATTACAGCAAAACTATTTTCATTGAGTTAGGTATTAGGAAGAACCTAGAGACAGTATAAAATGTAAGGGAGAATCTGTAGGTTCCATGCCAGTACTGTGCCAGTACTGTTCCATGCCAGTATTTATTTTACATAAATTTGTCGAGCATCAGTGCATTCTGCTACTGCAGGAGGTCCTGGAACCAACCATCTCTGGGTGCTAAGGCATTATTTATTTTATGTACAAAGGAGGAGAGCTCTAAACACATGAACCAAAACCTGACAGAGCTGAGGGGGAAAGCTTACAACAGCAAAAAAGCCAAAGATTCTGTCCTTACAGTCAATGATGTGTATGAAACCTAAGCAGAAGAAAAACAAGCACACGGAAGACTGGAACACTATGCAAAAGACCAGAATAAGTACAGAGTACTTCACTGATCAGCAGAACAGACATTTTTCTCAAACACATGTGCAATCTGTCCAAGATAGGTTATATGCTAGCTGCTAAGCCATAAAACAAGTATTGGTAAATTGAAAAAGCATCATGTAAAGTATATTGTCTGACCATAATTAATCAAGTCTCTAAACAAGTAAAGGTTAGTCAGTTTAATAATATTTGGAAATCAGTACCACATTTCTAAATACCCATTGGCTCAAAAGGAATTTCAAGAGAAGTTAGACGATACTTTGCCAGAACTCATGGGATGTAAACAACGAAATTCTTGGGATACATTTTATATGTATAAGGCATACTTTTAAAAGACAAGCCAAGGGGGAGGAGCAAAGATGGCAGATAGACAACAACTGGCTACAGAAGCTCCCTGGTTGGTCATACACAGTTTTTATCAAATTGAAGTAGGAACCTTCTGTAAATATTTCCTTCAGAATTTTTGTCATGAGTAGGTGTTGGCTTTTGTTAAAAGCTTTTTATGCATCTGTTGATATGACCACGTGAATTTTGTCTGTGCTTCTATTTATGTGTTGCATTCAGCCCCACTTTCTCAAAACCCGTGAGACAAGAGCCAGGGAGCTCAAGTGAACCCCAAGGCAGGGCCACGTGGCAGAGGACTCTTGCTCATGGTGTAGCAATCAGGAAGCAGAGAGAGATGAAGGCAAGTGGAGGTATGTACCCTTCTGGGCCACACTCCCAGTGACCCACCTGTTCCCACCATGCCTCACCCCCCCATATCACCTTTAGCTATAAGCTCATCTTTGACTAATCTGCTGATGAGTGTCATGCCTCTCTGATCCAGTCACCTCCCAAAGCACCCTGCCATGACAGCATGAGGCTTTGGGGACATCTAGTTATAAACTATAACAAGGGAAGTCCCTTCCTTCCTCTGGGGTCTTATAATATTGAATAAATTGAGGGTAGAAAAATTCCAAAATTGGAATTCCTGGATTCCCAGAGAGCCCTCAACAACAGGAATGGGTATCAGCAAACTTAATACAACCAAACTTTTGCCCATGAAAAGGCTACAACAAGAATAAATGTTTACCTACTCATTAGGCTCATTTTTTTCTTGGACTACTTAGTGAGGCAGGTGTTATTTTATGTGTTTTATCATTGTCATGTTCAGATGAAAAAATAGTCCCAAAGAAAAAAGATGAATTTACCAAGGCAAAGTTTATGGCTTTACATGGTTCAGTAAGACCAAAAAAGACAAAAAGTAAAGTTCTTTGCTTTTATATGGAATTATCATTTTTGTAATATAACCAAGACAATCCAGATGAGGGGGGAGAAGTGCATTTTTGCTTAGCAGATGCCTTTCCAAACAGGAGGCCAAAGGGGGAGGTGGCAATCAATGGTACCCAATAAGATTGGTTTTCTTCTAAAGTAGAGCTCTTCCAGCTCCAAAAGCACTGAGTCCAAGAAAACCTGGCTTCTTATGTGCATTGACACCGAGCTGCCACGAGGTGTCACAACTCTCCATAATGAAATGAAGCTCGGCGAGCATGAAATCTCGCTCTTGCTTTCTCCAACTAGAATATGCTTGCTGTTTTGTTTT